ATGGAAATTCAGCTTTGCATCACAGAAATAAATTATATTTTTAAAGTATAATAAAATAGAAACCATTATTTTATATTGTAATAACATTACATTACAAGATTACTGTTTTTTTAATCAAATAAATGCAGCCTTCATGAGCATAAGAGACTTCTTTAAAAACATTACAAGTCTTACTGATCCCAAACTTTTGAGCGGTAGTGTGCGTGTATATATATATATATATATATATATATATGTATGTATATATATATTTTTTTTTTCTCCCCAAGGTAATATCGGATATGTTCCCCCATATATTGTGCATTATATATATATATTGTGTGTGTGTGTGTGTGAATTATTAAAATTGTTATCTGATATTGATTTTTTTCATATAAGTTTTTCAAACAGTGTAAATTTCAAAGTTATCCATCTTTTCTACTGTAAATTATAATGTTTTGATTCCTGATCAAAACTTGAAGCACTGTAAAAAAAAAAATAAAGATTAGCGCTTTCATGTAGACATTTGTTTTATACTGGCAAAACAATAACAATTTACAATATAATACTGGAATGCATACTGGCTAAAGGCCATAAAAAAGAAATTACCAGCCCTTATTTTTTTCTGTATCACTACATAATTTCTACATCACTAATTTAAACAGTCTCATGTGAAATTAATTATGGGAAACTGAAAAGCTCTATAAAGACGTTACGCACCAGATTTCATCAGTTCCCAGCTGCGCCACACAGAACCGACACATAGAACAGGCAAGCCAAGCTCACCAGAAAACAGATCCTAAATGAACAAGAGATGAAAATGATTAAATAAGAAAAAGAAACAGAGTGAGTGAGCTGTGTTGCTGTGAGGTTTTTTTTACCTGATGTACTTTAGGAAGGACTGCTACAATGTGGCGTGCAAGCGCTTTTCCAGCTTCTGTGAACACGTGCTGGCACAAAGCATCACCAGCACTGCCACCTGATGCACAATCACAAAGAGTCATAATGTGTGGCATAACATGCACACAACCTCACACCACACGTCAGCAGCATACCTTCAGCTAGTTTCCTACAGAACCCTGCAAAATGTGACTTCTGAAAGATTCTGTACAAATGAGGAAGCATTCCCATCAAGTCCGATACCTGGGGATGAACAAAACGACAAGGAAGCACCATCACTTCTATTCAAGTATCAAATTAAGCACAAGATTACATCAAAAGAACAGCGAGTCCTAACCTGGAAATATTCTTCCATGGCCTTCTTAACATAGTTGATATCATGAGGGGATGTGACGAGGTTATCTCTGGCATCAAAAAACGTTTTAATAGCCAAGTGAGAAATCCAATATGCTACAGGAAGATAAGGACAGAGAGAAAGAAAAAGCTTAGGCCCCATTCACATCTAGTAATAACACCTATCACGGGCGATCAGATTAGAAATGGCCAATACAGACTGCCGTTAGATGAAGAATCCTGTAAAAATTTATCATTTTTACACAAAAATATTAAGCAGCGGAACTGTTTTCAATACTTATAATAAGAAATGTTTCTTTAGCACCAAATCAGCATTTTAGAAGGATTTCTGACGGATCACGTGACACTGAAGACTGGAGTAATGGCTGATGAAAATTCAGCTTTTGCCATCACAGGAATAAATAACATTTTAAAATAGGGGGAAAAAAACATATACTTTAAATTTGAATAATATTTCACAGTTTTTACATTATTACCGATCACATAAAAGCAGATAATTCTTTCAAAAACGTTGAAAACAGACCCCAAACTTTCCAAACAGTTGTGAATATGCCTATTACTTTTTCCAAATCTGTCAAACGATGAAGTCTTACCAAGCTGGCGAACCCTTATTTTAGTACAATGGTTACCCATTAGGCAAGCAGGCGATGCTTAACACAGGATGGGTTTGTGTCTGATCAGGTATGCATGTATATCTCCTCTGCTGTTGTTCAGAAATACTAGTACCGATGTTGTACAAGGAGGACACTTTCATGTTTCATCAGTTATCCAATGTTTAGTGAGCAGGGTTCTTACCAACACCCACATTTTTTGGTCACAAAATAATGATTTACGAGCTAGGAAGCTGATTGAGACATGTAAGGGGTTGGGGCCTTTGCAAGGAATTCATTTGTTAGATAAGATAACATCTTTCTAAGATAAGACTGGGTGTGTGTGATCACATTGCTGATATGTCAATCGGTTTCTCTTTCCATATGGTTACCTGTAGGGGTGGGTAAAAAATATCGATATCTCAATATTAATCGATTCTCATTTTTACGGAACGATATCGATTCTTAAATCCCAAGAATCGATTATTCTCGCCTGTTTTCAGTTAATGTACGGAACATTGATTGAAGGGCAATTCCTAACCAATTAATCGCAATAAGCATTGTGCTTTAGTACTTTTAATATGAAACAAAGTCTCAGATTTTAAATTCTGTCCATTGTATTGCAGTATTTAAACAATAAATGCCGTTTTGGCGCTGTTTAATGTGGAGTGACAGATCGCTGTAGCGCCTCATTTCAACAGACGCGTCAGCACGAGGCGCACGTGAACTGATCATCTCCTCCACATTAATACCAGTTTCAGCACAAAATAAACATGACTAAACATCCGAAGGTAAGTTAAAAGAAAGAGTACAACTTTACAATCCTTATCCTGTCTCATGTAAAAGCTCAATCAGTGTTTCAGCCGCGCAAACACGTCAAAATATAACGGCTTGTAAACAATGTCGCGTAACGTCACATTTACCTCAGAAAAAACGTTATTCGGTGACCAAAAACTCATTAGTCAAATAAACTGGAGAGGGGCATTTTGCTAAATACTGTATATGTGCCATATAGCCTAACATATTCAATATAAACAATGTTTAATTTGTTTGAATAAATCCATCAAGTTTTTATGACAGCCACCATTTAAATGTTTATATTTCAAAAAACGAATTGAAGTAGAAATATCATTATGTAATTGTAACTTTATTATTTAAAAAACTTCATTAAGTGTAATTTTTGCAGTTGTATAGCCTACAAATCAGTCAATTGTAACCTTCAATTTTATAGCAAATGTAGTACCAACTGACTCTCATGTATATTTTAAAGCATTAGTTGAGAGATTTTTTTTCTATATATATTATATCCAAAATAATCGATATTTAATCAAATCGAATCGAATTGGTAATCGAATCGAATTGCAAACTTGTTAATGAGAATCGAATCGAATCGTGAAATTTGTGTCAAAACCTAGCCCTAGTTACCTGAGCCCTCGTCTCCCATCATGTGACCCCAACCCCCACAGCCAACCTGTGTCCCATCTGGATTGACCAGCTTACAGTTCGAACCAGTGCCTGATATCACCACTATACCCCCTATGACAAAAAGACAGACAGAAAGGGTTACGATGACAATTATGTCCTGAAATCCATTAGCTACTACTGCCAATTGCAAAGACACTGCACAAACCATAGTCACTGGCAGTGGCCATAGCGCCAATGGCATCGGTGGTAATAAAATAACTTTGGCTCAGCTTGGGGTATCGCTCCCTCATGTCATCAATCAGCTTCTGGATAGCAGCTTTCTGCTCTCCACCACTTAAAGACATACCCTTTCAACACACAATGTATACAACTTTAAAGCAACACGATGAAGGTGAATGTGTTGAGGATGACTGACTGATGCATCGCCTCACCAATGAACAAACTGGTGTGTCCGGGTCCAGCCCTGCCTTGATTTTAGCCCTCTGGACCATGTCATTGATACCATTAATACAATTATCAACACCAACCAACTATAAATTAATAGAAAAAAAGTTAATATATTTACATACACACTCAAGTACACACAAGCTGACTTAAGTACATATTAAAGCACGTTCTCTGATCTCACCCAGTGATTGGTACATGGTCCATCTGTCTCAGCGAGGATGTGTCCCTCAGCAGAAACCAGTACTGCTTTAGAGTGTGTCCCACCGCTGTCAAAGTAGAGAATATTGTGTCTCGTTCATTTGAAGCTACTGACACTTTCTCTCAAACAACTGGCACGAGGCACGCGCTTAGAGCGAAGCTTTTAAATATTAAATATAGATATTTTAATAAGCGTGTATATGTTAAAATGTCATTAAAGTATGGCTTATATTTGCTTTAATAACAATGTTTTGTCATAAACTCACCCCTCCACTCCTCCGTACACTGCGCTCATCTCGCCTGCTTCCTCTTTAGTCACATGACCACTCAGTCAGCTGCTTAGAGTCAACTTTCAGTGAATAACACTCGGACTTTGACAGAAAGCCATTTTTACTGTCTAAAGCCACATAAAATCTCGATTCACACCCATTTTTATAATCTGTCTATATTTAAAAAACAAGATAATGTGATTCGGGTTTTTTTTTCGCTCCCCCCCCCCCAAATTCTTTCAAAAATTGTTTGTTTGTAGTAAAGCAAATAATTAGAAACATATTTAAACAATAAAATATAAATAAAAATATATAAAAAATAAAATAAAAACATACATAGATTACACACTCTGACCAACAGATGGCAGCATGACTAAACGAATCTTGCTGTCCCCAGCATCACGTGACGTTAGATTTGTCAATTCATTAAATATTTCTTTTCTTTTCTCCATTTACATAATTTTATTGTAAACTTACAAATGCATCCTTGATGCTGATTGATACAAGACAACAACAAAATACAAATACAGTTACAGAATATAATGAATTATTTTTAAAAGTAGATCATTAAAATAATAATAATAAAAACTACAAATGACAGTTTAAACGAGGAAAGTCTAATGTAAATGTCGAGCTGACATCTGTCATTGTGAGCCGTGTTACTTCCCTGCCTCCCTCTGCATTTGTGACTCACTCTTTGCAGACTCACATGTTGTCTCACTATCTATATGAAGATGAAATAATATTTTACAATGAAAACGCCTTACAATGAAATCTGCCAAAAGTTGCTGACATGCACTTGTGTAAAGCATTACATAAATCTCTGAATCACAGAGACCAACTTTACTGTAGTAGTTCAGATGCTTTTGATTCTGTTCTTCACTCTTAGAATTATCCAGGTCTCACAAGTTATTGACGGCATTTTATTTCATTTTACTTATTTATTCTGCTTTCTGGTTTAATAACTTTATGACAGCTATACATCATAAAAATACTTTTGCTGATGTTTTCAGCCTCTTATTACTGCTTCAACCCATTATACATACTCCCATACCTATCACAATTGTATCACAGTGACATTAACACCACAATTTGCATGTGGTGCTATGCAATGCACTGTTTAATTTATATCAGAAAAACAAATGTTTATGCTTGCACGACATGCACAGTACAAGATTGAGAATTAAAGAAAAAACAAACCAGTATGCAAACATGTGTGAGCAGCAGCATGTATGAGAAGCAGCCCAATGAAGGACATGGATCAAAGGCTTAGACCAAACAGCGCATTCTCCTCTAAAAAATAAAAGGACTAATCATGAAAGTCAGCAGCACACCCTGCATTTGCCAATGATAGCACCATAATTATTGCAATGCTAAATGAATGCTAATTGTTGATGCAATTACAGAATTAATTCATGGATGTAAACACAGTAACTACACCTGTCTTGTGATTTCTCACTGACAACATTATAACAGGGATGACAACATACGTTTTGAAAAATTGTTATAATTGCAAGTGAAAAGGTTTCAGGCGTCATGCTTTGCCTGTGTTTGGGCTGAGGAGTAGGTGGGAGGAAAGGCTGTGGGCGCGCGCTTCCTCTATCGCGAGGAGAGAGAGAGAGAGAGAGAGAGAAAGAAAGAGAGAGAGAGAGAAAGATAAGCAGCAGAGCAGCGTCTCAAAATCCAGGACCAGCAGCATGAAAAGATTTCGTTTTAACATTTTGATTTTCCCCATCCAAACATTAATTTAACTTCTAGAATAATTTTAATGAATTCCCGTCGAAACGCCCCTGAAGTAAAAGTTTGCCAAGCGGAAGTTCGCGCGGTAGGAAATCGGAAAAAGTCGAAAGAGTGAGAAATATATAATAATCGTTTATCTTGCTGTGCAGCGAGAGAGTATTTTGAAAATGGACACTCACGTTAAGGAGGGACAACTGTACGTCCAGCATCAGAAGTTTGGAAAGGTAAGAGCTTGTCGCATAGAGTTTGATTGAAGAGGCAATAACAGATGTCTGACATGATAAACCTGAGGATCTTACTAGTTTAAACACATGTGCCAAGTTCTTAGATATGTAATCTTTGTATTCACGTTTGAAAAACGTTCTATACTTTTTTCACTAATTTAATTCAGTGACTCAAAATGTCATATGGTGTAACCATTAAGTAAATAAATAAATAAATAACGAAAATACAATACTTTTCTTGCACCTTAAATAGGTACGTCAGTATGCAAAGCTGCAATGCAAATGTCAAATATTTTTTCAAGCTGAAAGTATTGTTTTAACAAATTTAACAGATTTTTAAAAAAATCTGTTAATATGTCTGAAACATCACAAGCAAGAGGATTTTTAGTTTTTTATGATTAGTATTAGACTTCTTTTATGAAAGGTCAAAATATGTGGCAAAAAAAAACGACGACCTCCAGTCATGAGGGTCTAATGATGTCCTCTGTGTTTTAAGCTTTTCTTGTCACATGACAACAAAACAAATATCACTAATATTTTAAAACTTAATTGCTTGACTGTTTATTTTTTTAAAGTAGAAATACAATGAAAAAGTATGCCAAATGACATAAGGTAACATTTCTCTCTCCCTTTTTTTCCAAAAAAATTAGCATATTAATGAGACTTAAATTAAGATAAATTATTTTTAAATGCATTTTAAGTAACTTTATAGGCCCAGACAAAAATGAGCACCACGTCACTGAGCCTTTTGTTTTTACATTTACAAATTCAAATTTATCCAATCATATAGAGAGTGGCAGAAAGAGGACCCACAACATCTACCAGAAAAGACCGCAATTTTATATGTTAACGTTTCTAAATATAAACTTAACTTTAAAGACAATTTAAATAGTTTCATAAAGAGTAAGAAGGAGTGATGACTCCTCGCATGAGATGGTCACATGAATGAGTACATCAGACCCTGTGCTACAACACGCATCTTCAGATTTCAGCTCTCAGCATGCATATTCTGTGTTTTTTGCGCCACTAACTACATAAGATTTAACACAGATTTAAGACTGGACAAACAACCTTTTCGTTCTTGTGAGTGATATCTAACCACTAACCAAGAGTAGGTTACACATACACACGGCACAGCTGTGTCTAAATAATTTCCACTCTCTTGACTGTCCATGTGCAGTGGAAAATGCTGCATCACAGACGCATTACCACAAAAGGTTCTGTTTGTTTTCTCTCTGATTGAATATGTGAGGCATGTATTTTTGTCATTCTTTAGACATTGATATGAGTCACATGTCTTCAGTCAGACCTGTGCTGGATCAAAAACATTTGCTGGAGCAATGGCTTGTCATTAATTTATTATCCACTTCCTCTGTCTGAAACTTCTTTGTTATGTGGAAGTAAGCAAATTATGAGCACAGCTACATATCTTTTACCCTCAGGCAACAGCAGAAATTCAAATTGAGCATTGATGGACTTTAATGCTGCCATTCATTCATGTAGGTTTTACTCCGATCAAGAGCACAGTAAGCTTGTATGAAGGTTTTAGCATAGTTTAATAGCAAGTACAAGATATCTTGTCAACAATAACACATGGCTAAAAATAATCTTGCGTGCATGGTGACTCTTCTTTAGAGGCTCAGAGGGTGATGATAGATTCATAGTGTGATGGCTGAATCACACCGGATCATACTGCTGTCTAGTGGAGTCATGTTTCAATATTTCACATTAAACCCTGCATAAGTTTTTTTTATTTTCATATTTTTGAGGTCATGAATAACATTGCCATACAGCATGTAACCTGTTTCAATAACTGCTTGTCCATATATGGAAATGCTACAACATAGATCTGTTTTCTTAGATAAGTAGATGAGTCATAGATAAGTCTTCTTAACATAGTGTTACTTTTTCACTTTGTCTAACACCTTTTCAAACTTTTTTCAGTTTTTAATGGGTTGCTTGTTGCTAAACAACTTTCTGTAACATTCTAATGCTGCACTGTTTCATACCATACACCTTAAGCACTGCGTGTAAAAAGGTGTAAAATTACCAAGAAAAGGTATGAGCAGTTTCATGTCCCAAAAGTTAAAACCGGAACTAAATTAAATAGAGTATTAACCCTTTTGGACACGTTTACATAACTCTGGAGAATAAACAGTAGGCTATCACTGCATGTTTGAAACATGGCCTCTACTGCATGGCGTCATTACGTGAGACATATTGTGACAAACCCTGTCCCAGTCCTTAGACTTGTTTGTGTATAGAGAAGATGAGTGATATAAGCTTTGGCCTTGCTCTTACTTTTTCCTACAGCTCAAGGAGATTTAGTAACTGAGTACTCTGTTCAATAAATAAAAAATAGTGGTGCAACGGATCACAAAACTCACGGTTCAGATCATATTACGGATTTTGAGTCACTGATCGAAAAAAATAAATAAAAAATAAATTTGGGAAAGCTTATTTAAGTACTTCTATACCAGAGCAAAAACTACTAGCTTAACTAATAAAGTTAGTAATAAAACAAGAACAATTACACAAATTACAAGCATAGATGAATACAACAAAACACAGTTACAAATAAAGTCAGTAACAGTAGCATTCAGGTACAGAAATGTAATAAGTTTAAAATAACACAATAGTGCCCACTGCACAAGTTAAATACAGATTAATCTTTGTTAGAGCTGTGGTGATATTTGATTAGCAGACAGAAATGGGTAATTATTGGCTGCTGTCTCTTTAAGACCAAATGCACGGACCTAAAACTGACACTAAGCCTATCCGAAATAATCAATATATCTACTTATTGCACAATATATGGACATGACCTCAATCATTTTTGGTGACGCAATATATTGCCCATTATATTTACATAAAAATGAATGTCACCATGTTTTTTGCATTCCACTTGCTCTTGTGTCTTTTGCAGATTCTCGTACTTAAAGTGGTGTAGTCGGTGCTAGTTCAAATTTAAAAAATGCTTCTACAAACAAAGTTTCATCTGCAGATATGGCCTTGTTTAGGGATCTGTGCCTTTGTGCATACGGACATCTGGGATTGTGTTTTTCAGCAATACAGTCCATACAAGTTATTTGTGAATTTGTGAATTTTTATTTTTT